TATCTTCGCACATATTCTTATATATAGTTAAATCCTGATTTTTGTTTGATGCTGCCATCTGTTTATAAATGTATTAACTAAAATAGCCAATGGCAAGATTAATATTGATTTTTGGACTATCCATTCCAATCCGTTAAAAAAATACATGTAAATTAACATTATTATTTTATTACTTGCTATTAAACAAAGCCATACATTTTATGTAATTTTAGGCTTCTACCTCTTTTATTCTCTTTTTTAAAATAATGTGTTCTTATAAATAATGTCAGTTTTTTAAAGATGTTTAATTACAAATTCATGTGCCACTCCTCTTTACACACATTCAAACTTACGACTTTTTTTATGATGAGTTTTTATTAATCTTATATTCCCTAGTAACACCTAGTACTAGATTACATCAGTGAGCCAGAAAAATCAAACGCTATCTTGCACAATTTTCGAATATAAGAAAGATAGAAAAGGTCGCTGTTTTCTGATTAAGGATTTCTTTAACGTTTTTCACGAAATAATTTCCAGTTGAAATTATCCTTGAACTATTCGGTTTATTGGAGGATGATGAAGTAAAAATCTTCGTTTATTTCGTAGTAGTTCTAGCCTAAACTTTATGACCGGAATAATTAAAATAACTTTTTAAACAAAAAATTCTTGGGATTTAAATGTGAAAGAACACTAAGAATCTGTTTGAAACCATTATTTCAATTAAAAATCATCTTATTTAAATACTCACCAGAAAAAAAAATTATTACTGACAGCTGGTTGTAACAATTTCTTAAACACAAAATTTTGAACTTTTAAAATGTTTTTCGCTTTAACTGCATTTTTATTTTAAGTCATTTAAATATTTCTATTTTAAGCAAATGCGCCCCCCCCCAAAAAAAAAGGATTGTCTAAGCTATTACACATTAATGAAGAAAATTTTTATGATTCGTGTTTGTTTGTTTTTTTAACTTTATTTTAATGCATGTTTCGTGGAATTATATAAGCCAGTATAGTATAGTCTTCTCTTTTTCTCTGCCATGTCATTTGACAACTTCTACATCAAAGCTTGCCAGTTACAAGTTTATATGATGTTATGTATATCAAAATCTAGCATTTATTTATGTAAAATATCATGAAAATTAAGTAAAACCATATAGTTGTTAATCATTTGATTTTGTAAAAATTATAAATTACGTAAACAAACTTATTCTTTTGTCTAATTTAAATAATTCGTTTTCAATTTTAATTCTAGTGAAAAAAATTATTTTATTATTTTATAAGATTTATTCACTCATAAAATACACATAATAACATAAAATATATGTTTATTTAATTATTATAAATAAATAGTTTAAATTAACATTAGTAACAACTGAAAAGTTAAACACTTGAACAGAAATAATAGTTTTCTTAAGATTCGATTAAAATTTTATTACCTTTAAAAACTTTGTTAAAAAAAAGAGACTTAAACAATTTCTATTACATTTGGAAAAAATTCCCAAAAATCTTTAAACTGTGTTTATTAATAAGAGTAATAAAAATTATCTAAATACAGAAAAATCAACACAAAATTATTAAAAAAAACGTTTTATTGTCTATTTAAGAAATATTTTATGTAAAGCAATGATGCAGTTTATATGCAAAGACTTCTTGTCAAGCAGTTTTAAAACAATGAAAATAAACTTATGCTTCCGTATAACGTTTGAATGAAAAAATTGCACGCTACTGGGTCTCCAAAGTTGTGCGACTTCTGGAATTCGGTAGTGTTGAAAAATATTCTGTCAAGGAAAATCGAAAAAATATTTCTTCGAGGTATTTGCTCTGGCACTTCATTATCTTGGCAAAATGTAAAGAATGTGTATCTGTGATTACCTGAAAAACATATTGAGCAAACTTAATTTCAAAAGCATTCTTTTACACTTTTCGTCTAAGCATTCTTTCAAACACCTCTGAAAATACTGAAATCTTTTAAAATTAATTTGCTGCATCGCGAAACACCAGCGATATTTACAGAGCAACTAATTTTTCAATTAGCCTACTACATTACATGGTGTTCCAAAATTTTACCGAGAACGTCATATAGAATTTGAAGGCTCTACTGAACGTCATAGGGAAGTTGAAGGTTTTACTGAAGTTCATTATAATTAAGTTTCGCTCTTAAAGAAAATTAACGGCTAATTGAGAAATAAGAATGTATAAATTAATTAGCAATGCTACGAATTTTATGGAAATTTCTCAGAGTATAAGTACTTATATATGGGCATTTCACTTTATAAAGGTATATTGCTCTAAAACTGTTTAAACATGTAATTTTGGGTATAAATATGGTTGAACATATACTTAATGTAGCGTAAATGAGATGAAAGAGTTCTTTATTTTTGCAATTCCGGACCGCGAAGCCAAGCAACGAAATGATGATACACTTAGCGAAAATTGCTCTTATAAATTTGATACTTAAGAATGTTTTTTTACCATGCTAGTGGTCATAGCTCTCGATTGAAATAATTAAGGTATGCTCTTTAACTTTCAAATAGCCTTGTCATGAGTTTTTGTGCTTAGGTTGAAACCAACACACAACCGATGACAAAAGTAAATAGCTTTTAAAGCTCAGCCTTTCAAATCAAAAAAACTCCTGATAACCTATAATTTTTGAATAAATTGTATTGTATTGTCAAGAAAAACAGTTGCATGTGATACAACGTAATAAGTACCGTGTGTGTCTAGGAAGACTGTTGTGGTCTTAGAAGCAAGAAAAATTCTATTTTTGTATGTCCATCTTGGGATAACTCTAAATAATCTCTCTTTTAATTTTCTACTAAAAGGAATTAATGAGTAATTTTTATTCATCATGGCTAGTCGAGGAGAAGAAAAAGAATATCGAATTACACTGTTTAGGTTAATGTAATTTCGTTCTCCCACCACATTTACGCGTAATCCATCGCCAATTCCAACAGCAATCGCCAAGTTTTCAGTCTATGGTATGGTTTGGCAATTCGTGTGCTGGAAGACTGTTGTGGTCTTAGAAGGAAAGGGAAGGGAAAAAATTCTATTTTTGTGTGTCCATCTTGGGATAACTCTAAAACGGTTTCTGATCTCATTATTGGCGTCGTTTGCATAATTATAAAAAGTGCTCATTTTAAGTAAGAGGGTAAAAAATAATGAGTATCGGTTCCATACTAGGGCACTGTCCATTTTTGAAACTAACATATTGAAACATGTAACTAACATGCAATAACATATTGAAAAGCTTTTAAATATTTATCTGTTGAAACAAAGATTAAAATAATTAAAATGGTTAAAGGTTTCCGTACTTGGGTCACTAATCACTACCTTGCATACATTTATTTATTTACACAAGAAATGATAAAACAGCGTACTTACAAAAACTTCCACGTAAAAATATGCCGATTTAAATTATTATAAGAAATTCTCTGAAAGCAAATAAGGATTTTACTTTCTAATTTTACGCCACTTAATTATTAAACAACGAAAAACATTAACTTGATTTAAATTATTTTCCTACCTTCACACTATTAGAGTTCCGACTCGTAAAAAAGCATGAAAATTTACATTTATTGCTTCAAATCTTTAATGTTTTGTATTAATCAATAAGTATAAAAAAATCTCAAAAATTTTCTATAAAATTTTTTAAAGATTTTTAAAGTTTAAAAAATTAAAAAAAAATTTTAATATTTGTTATAATTGAAACCTTTAAATTTTAATTAAAAAAGTTTTGATGTAATTTTAATTAATTAATCTTTTTATTAATTTTACTTCAGCATTCTCTTCCATTAGTATTTCAAAACATTTATAATTATTTCATAAACTTAAAACTTTAAAACAAAATCTAAACGTTTTAAGGAAATTCCTTTAGTTAAGGCAACATAACATTTAAAATATTACATTCCAAAATTAATGTTTTCTTCACTAGGTTTTAAGATACATCGTTTCAAAACAGTTAAAAAAATTTTATTATTTAAGAAAAAACCTACTTAATTTTCAGCATCTGAAAAAAGCTAAATATGGGACAGACACAAAATAAGTCTCCTTTTTTGTTCTAATTAAGGCAAAAATATTATTTTTCAACCTATTTAAAAAAGATTAATTTGTATCTTTTTAGACAAAATCTCTAAGTTTTTTAACTTTATGCGATTTATATGTTGTTGTTGGTTACGAATGTTTTTACATTAACTTGACTACAGTTTAAATTTGCAATTTAATTTTTGTAAATATTTTTATTCATACCAGTTGGACTTAGAGGCACAAGTGGTTGCCATGGGAACTCCCTGTAACCTTTATCGTCTCCTTGGTAACCGTCTGCTAAAACATTAACTGGTATATTGAACACTCCCCAGTGAAGAAATGGTCCAATAACATATGCATCCAAATCNTATCGATGAGTACCTAAAAAAACAAACTTAATTTCCAAAAATTCTTTTAAGCATTTCGTTGTTGAGAGTTTAATTTTGAATATAGCACAGAAAACATGTTTGCAAAAATGGACGTATATCAAAATATGTGTTTAAGATGGACACAGCTCGAAATACATTTTTACAAAAATGGACTTGCCCATCTCAAAATGCACATTTGTGAAGATGGACAAAGCTCAAAATGCACATTTACACAATGAGCAAAATGCTCATTTTCAAATAAAAATTGCAGCTCAAATGCGCATTTATTAAAATGGACACAGTTCAAAATGTGCATTTACGAAAGAGGGCACAACACTAAATATTTTTTAATGTTTGACCAAAATATATCAACTAAACGAAGAATTTCAAACTTACATTTATACTTACTTACTATTCATCTTTTTATTTTGAGCACAGCACAAAATGCGTGTTTACAAAAATGAACATGCTTCAAAATATGTGCTTAAGATGGACACAGCTCAAAATACATGTTTATAAAAATGATCTTCACACAAAATGTATAGTTACGACAATGGACACAGCTTAAAATGTGCATTTACACAAATGAGCAGATATGGTGATCTCGAATATGCTAATTAATTAGTGCAGACGGTCTTTAAAAGTTACGAAATCAGACACAAAACGTACTTTCTCTGAATAAATATACCTTTTCTTCAACAGATTCGGGTATCTGATTTTTAAAATATAGGGAGTTGTTGCAATCAGGGAAATATGGTCCTCGATCATTGGTTTGGTCAGGAGAGCGATCCAAAATTTGAACCCTTGATTTTTTTGTGTATTTTGTTATATTTCGAGAACTTTTTAAGTGAATAGAAAATTTTTCGCTTAATAATTATAAAATTTATTTACTCAAGGATAATTCCATACTAAAATTAATTTCATAAAATATTTATTATTTTATTTAATAGTTGTCGGAAATTTTTTTTAATTGTAATGTATACATTTTTTTGCATCATTTCAAAGTATTTTATTTTATGTGTCAAAATAATTAATTTAAACTAAATCGGTTCAATAGTTTCTGAAAAATTGAATTTTAAATAAACGACGTTTTCAAAATTCGATTTTTCGGAAACTATTTGACCAATTTCGCTTAAATTTTGTATTTTGCAGTGTTATTTTACGTACTTTAAAATCATATAAAAAATTGCAACCTTTAAAGTTTTCCTACAATTATTAAATAAAGTCATAAAAAATAGTAAATATTTGATAAAAGTTATTTATTGCTTGAAATTGTCTTCGGATAAATAAACTTTACAATTGTATGCAAAAAATTTCAGTACGCATTAAAAGTTCTCGAGATATTGCAAAATATAGAAAAAGTAAAATTGCAATTATGGTATCTAAACTTTGGAACACTCACCTGACTGAAATATGGAGATCCTATTTTCCAGACTGCGGCTACTCTGAGTATTATTGGGGTCAGAAACGTGAATACGTCCAAAAAAATTTATGTTTACTCAGAGAAGGTAAGTTTTGGTGTCTGGTTCATAATTTAAAACATCGTCTGCACTAATTAATTAGCATACTTGTGGTCATCCCTTCGAACCCTTAAAATTGAATCCTAGAACGTGAAGATCTTATCATTAGATCAAAAGTTATTCTGGGTGGTCCCTTTTTTGTGTCACTGCATATTTAAACTAATTTGAAAATCTATGATTTATAGGTCAAATACCATGATTTGTTTCAGGTCGTTTTCTAGATCAGCCCAATTTATTAAAAGTTTATAAGGATTACCCTTAATTAGGGTATATTGTAATAAGCCTAAGGAAAAATTATTGATTGAGTCAATTTGATTGAGTATATCTTCGCACATATTCTTATTAGTCTAAATGCACATGAGATGGTTTAGATATGCCTAAAAACTATCAAATACCTCTGAAAATACTGAAATCTTTTTAAATTTATTAGTTGCATTGAGTAAAGCCAGCGATATTAACAGAGCAACTAATTTTTCAATTACCCTACTACATTATATGGTGTTCCAAAATTTGACCGAGAACGTCATAGGGAAGTTGAAGATTTTACTGAAGTTCATTACAATTAAGCTTCGCTCTTAAAGAAAATTAACGGCTGATAGAGAAATAAGAATGTATAAATTAATTAGCGATGCTTCAAATTTTATGGAAATTTCTTAGAGTATAAGTACTTATATATGGGCAGTTCACTTTATAAAGGTATATTGCTCTAAAACTGTTTAAACATATAATTTTGGGTATAAATGGTTGCATATATACTTAATATAGCGTAAATGAGATAAAAGAGTTCTTTATTTTTACAATTCAGTTCCACGAAGTCAAGCAACGAAGTAGTGTTGCACTTAGCGAAAATTGCTCTTATAAATTTAATACTTAAGAATGTTCTTTTTACCCTGCTAGTGATCATTGCTCTCGATTGAGATAATTAAGATATGCTCTTTAACTTTCAAATAGCCTTGTCATGAGTTTTTGTGCTTAGGTTGAAACCAACACACAACCGATGACAAAAGTAAATAGCTTTTGAGGCTCAGCCTTTCAATTCAAAAAACCTATAATTTTGAAATAAATTGTATTGTATTGTCAAGAAAAACAGTTGCATGAGACACAATGTAATAAGTGCCGTGTATGCGTGCAAGAAGACTGTTGTAGTCTTAGAAGGAAAGGAAAAAAATTCTATTTTTGTAGGTCCATCTTGGGATAACTCTAAAACGGTTTCTGATCATTATTGGTGTTGTTTGCATAATTATAAAAAGTGCTCATTTTAAGTAAAAGGGTAAAAAAGAATGAGCATCAGTTCAATACTAGGGCACTGTCCATTTTTGCAACTAGCATATTGAAACATATAACTAACATGCAATATCATATTAAACAAAACTGTTGAAACAAAAATTATAATAAATTAGTTGGTTAAAAGTTACCGTACTATCTAGCCACTATCTTGTATACACTTATCTATTTACACAAGAAATGATAAGACAGCGTACTTATTATTAAATTTCGAATTATATTATTACAAGAAGTTATCTAAAAACCAATAAGCATTTTACTTTCTAATTTTACACCACTTAACTGTTAAACAAAGAAAAGCATTAACTTGCTTTATATGAAAAGATTATATTATTTTCCTACCTTTACACTATTAGAGTTCCGACTCGTAAAATTTTTATTTACATTTAGTTCTTTGAATCTTTAATGTTTTGCAGTATTCAATAAGTATATGAAATCTCAAAAATATTTTATAAAACTTTTTAAAGAATTTTAAAGTTTAAAAAATCAAAAAAAATTTCACATTTGTTATAATTGAAACCTTTAAATTTTAATTCAAAAAGTTTTGATAAAATTTTAATTAATTAATCTTTTTTATTAATTTTTCTACAGTATTCTCTGCTATAAGTATTTAAAAACATTTATATTTATTTTATAAACTTCAAACAAAATCTGAATATTTTTTGGAATATCCTATAGTTCAGACAACATAACATTCAAAATATTACATTAAAAAATTATTGTTTTCTTCACTAGGTTTTGAGATATATCAGTTTGAAACTGTGAAAAAAAATTAAGTATTTAAGAAAAAACCTACTTAATTTTCAGCATCTGAAAAAGGCTAAATATGGAGAAGGCGCAAATAAGTCTCATATTTTATTCTAATTAAAGCGAAACTATCTATTTGTGCCTTTTTTTATTTATTACTGCACCTTTTTATTACTATTTATTGCACCTTTAAGTTTTTTTAACTTTAGGCGACTTATATTTTGTTGTTATTTAAGAATGTCTATACAAAAGCGTGACAACAAATTTAATTTGCAGTTTAATTTTCGTAAATATTTTTATTAATACCAGTTGAACTTAGAGGCACAATTGGTTGCCATGGGAACTCCCTATAACCTTCATCATCTCCGTGATAACCACGTAATAAAGTTTTAACTGGTATATTCTGCACCACCCAGTGAAGATATGGTCCAATAACATCTGCATCTAAATCTAAAACGAAAAAAAAAACATGAAACAAATAAGTCAATAATGGCGTTTCAAGTTGTTTTGATTTGTTATTATCAGAATAAATGCACTATAAAAAGAGATTTTTAGAAAATTTTTATCTATTAAATGCACCTTCAAAAACTTCGAGATGTATTAAAAAACAGCCTAATATATAATTTTTTTAAATCATTTTTGTAGCTTATAGGAAGTTTTGTATATTCATGTTTTTCATATTAACAAAAACCTGTCAGAAATTGCATATTAGTTGAAATTTTTAATTTTGAGGTGGAATGGAATTTTGAAAAATTCGATTCCACCTTGAATCATGATACGGTGCAAAATTACTATAACTTTAATCGGTGATAAATTGTACCATGCTTCTGTTCATGATGAACAAAAGTATCGTGTAAGTAAGTTTAAAAATTACGATGCTTCAAAAAACAAATTGAAAACATATCAAGTTTCTAAATAGTTGAACAAAATAATTATTTAACGTGTTTCAGCATTTTTAACACTGCAAAGTGTTCAAATCCTAGGAGTTTTTTCTTCAGTCCTTGTCCCTCACACTTTTCTGTATAAATCTTCATTAAAAATTGTTAACCATTACATTAATTAATCAATAATTAATTACATCCCATTTTATTAATCATTATTTTTTAACGTTTATTTAACGCTTCGATCATATTAAGTTGCAAAATACTCCATTATCACTGTCACAAGTTTTGAAGTGCTTTAAACTGTAATATTTTGTGAATTTATTACGATCTGAATACTGTGTAAAATTAACAAAGACTGCCGCAAATTTTTATTCTTAAAATTGATTACCCGATGAACAGAAAAAAAGTTCCGTAAGAAATTACGGTAAAAAGTACTGCCTTCAGGGTGCCAGTACGTTATACCAGTTTAAACGTAAAATTTTACGGAACAAAAATCTAATACACCGTAATTTTGACAGTGATATTTGCTGAATGTAAATATTAGTGCAATTAAATAAATAATACTGTAAAAAAATTATGCTATTAAATTTTTCAATAAAAATGGATTTTACGGATGTTGCATCAGTGTGCCAGTACTTTGTACTGCAACTTTATCCAGAATTTTTTTAAGTGTTGCTTTAACTATAATAAAGACTTGGCTCTATAGAATAACCAATATTAACACATTTACATGCATGCGTATTCCCGAAATCAATGTTTGAGCAGCTGAACACAAGCTCTAAAATTTTTTTATGGAAGCTCAGTATTCGCTAGAAGTTGTTGCTATGGGAAAATAAAATTGATGTCTTATGTGTAGACAAAATCTCGCTGATTAAAATTTTTCGGACATGGTTCAAATTGTAAACTTTATGGTTCAATAATGAAAAAAAAAATTTTAGTGCGTAGTAATTCTTTAGAAATTTTAAATGATATCATAGAAATTCACTTGACTTTTACCCATAGTATCACAAGGATATTAAGAAAGTAGCGTCTTTGCCGGTTAATGTGATTAACTTACCAACCATAATAACAGTTGCATATTTGCCGCATTGAAACAGAGCATCAAAAAATACTTCTGGGGGGTGCATGGTGTCCATTACAGAAACATTACTCCCACAATTCACCTGAGTTTTATCAAAATTCACCTGAAAAATATGAAGAGGAAAACCAAACATTAAAAATATATTCTGGATACTTGCTTTAACTGTAGAAATATATATAT